TGGTGTGTCATTTATATTTGAAAGGTAAGCAGTCTGGTCATTAGAACCAATCAAATCTTAATGAGGAGAAACCAAGTGGATGGCATTTATCCAGCCTGTTTACTCCAGCAAATGTAAACAATTAACGCTGCTTAACTCTTGCACATAACGTGCGCTGAGCCAGCTACAGCTGGCATCATTGACCTCTGAAAGCTAGACTGTGCACTCTGTGCGGAGACAGAATCCCACTGCAGCACTGGACCAGGTGCTCTGTGCGGCTCTAGGCCTGTTGGTGGCAGTAATTGCGTTCTTGGAGGAGCAGAGCGTGCTCATCACCACTGCAGAGCACCCGGTCTTTGTGTGTTGAAGGCTTATCTGCTGTGCAGGGAGAGAGGGGTTGAGTCCAAGGGGCAGGGAGAGCTGCCCTCATCACAAATTCAGTTTATGCTTAATGTGCTCAAACTGAAAAGGATTTCCTTGTGCTGAAGGTTTGAGCTGAGTAAGAAAATGCGCGAGGCCTGTCTCATTCTGAAGAACCACCTCAATGATGACATCAACGCGCTTAAAAGCAAAGAAGTGGTAGGTGATCCAGCAGTTCCCTTTTCTATCCTTCTTCGGTTTGTGAACAGAGTTTTAATAGTGGCATGCTATTGTAGAGAACTGCCTGATGCTCAAAACGATCCCTAACAGCATGCCCATCGTGGGGGGGAAATCCAGAAGGTAATTCCACAAATTTTCAGTATTGAAACGATTTGAGACAGCTGATGATTTTATCATTGTATTCTGTAAATCTCCGCTAGCTTGGATAATCTCAGAGGACGGTCTTGAAGCTCATGAGCTCTCCCTTCTGTGTTGAGCAAGGGGCGTAGTCCATCTGCCATCCCATTTTAGATGTTACCTAAAATACCATTTTGCCTTTAGGTTTACCAACAAAATAAACAGAAAGGTAGGAAACGATCACACAATGTCTTTATACTGAAGTGTGTGCTTAAAAGGGTTAATGGTCAGTGTGCACGAATCCGTGGCAGACCGCTGTAGATGGTTCCCATGCAGCTCATGAAAGTCGTGCGAATTTGGCTTTGGCCTGCGTGTCAGTCCCACCTCTCCCATGGGGTCAAACAGGGGTCAGCAGTGTAACTGGAGCACAGAACAGCAGTTCTTGCACGTAAGCAGCACACCTTTTAGTAGTGCATTCTACTCTAGAGGGTAAGGAATATTTAAAAACACCCCCCCCCGTACAAGTTCCTGGCTCCGCCACTGGTCCTGGTAAGCCCTCCGGGGCTGATGGGACTGAGATTATTCTCTCGGAGCGCTGCAGAAGGAGACCCATTGGAATGACGCAGTGTGTGTGTGTGTGCTGCCGTCCTGTAGCTCTCGAGCACACACACCGTACAGCAGGAGTGGTTCCGCGTGTCCAGCGCCAAGACGGCCCTTCCCTCCCGTGTGGCCGACTACCTGATGGCCTTCTCCGAGGTGTCCCCGGCGCTGCTGCGCCACGTGGTCAACATGACGGACAGCAACGGGAACACGGCGCTGCACTACAGCGTCTCCCACTCCAACTTCACTGTGGTTGGACTGCTGCTGGACACCGGTCAGTGGAGCGAGCGATCGAGGGTGGGGGCTGGCCTTGCTGTGTGCCTGCACAGTGCCCAGTCCTGGATCTTGAACGGTAGTCGTGTTGGAAAGCTAAGGTCGTATTTCTGTTGGTGCAGCGAAGTCCTGCACCACAGGTTTTTTTTTTTAAATAATGGAACATTTAAGGAAATTTGGGAAACGTAGCATGAAAAAATATTTGTGCACCGATGACATCAGTTCCCAATCCTGGTCCTGGTGACCCACACACACCCGGTAGTCTTTGTGCCAGCTGAGCCCTCAATTGCACAATCAAACGCTTCATTATCATACATACTCCGAAATGTAACTTCAACGTGCTGGAGCTTAAACTGCTGTATTCTTTAAGTGAAAAAAAATCCCAAGCTTGTGACTAGAAGCAAAATGCAAATATTCAACCGAAGCAACTTTGTAGACCAATCAAGGCTTCAATGATGTTCTATAAGGGTGTGGTACAATGGTTTTTAATCTCTATCCTAACATTCTGCATACCTTATTATTGCTCTCCCACATTATGGAAAACACAAACAGCTCAGACTTTATATACAAAGCTTCTTCATGTTTAACATTTTTGCCACTTGGGTGTATCATCCCTCCACTCGTCTACATGAAGTGTCACTGACAAGGCGTGTCTGCTCACTCCTGCACTATGTCTTTTTCAGTTCATTTGTGGCTTCTACAGTGTTTAATTTGTTTGATTGTCACCCTTTATCCTCTCTATATTTCTCTCCTGTAAACTGGGATATTATTTTGGTTATTTTAAATTAGTTTGGCTTTAACAATTCAATAAAAATGGGCTAATGAGAATAAGGACCATGGAGCCGATGGGTCACGGATTTAACCACAGCCTTGCACGGTGTTGCTGAAGTGCCTGTTTCCCCAGGCGTGTGCAATGTGGATCACCAGAACAAGGCTGGGTACACCGCGATCATGCTGGCTGCCCTGGCTGTTGTGAAGGAGGAGGAGGACATGCGAGTGGTCAGGAAGCTCTTCAGCCTGGGCAGCGTCAACGCCAAAGCCAGCCAGGTGAGCTCAGGAGGGACTGGTGGGCCCAGGTCCCCT